TTTGTGTTTATAATTTATAGTCCATCATGAAGGGAAGTTAGGCGAGGAATCTGGAGGCAGGAACTGCAGTAGAAGATGCAGAACACTGCTTACTGTGTGCCCAGCCTGCTTGCCAGTGCGGTCCAGAACCACTGTCCAGGGATGGCACACTGCTTACAGCACGCCTGCTTCCACGAAAATGCCTTGCACAGTCCTTTAAAAAGTAAAAAAAAAAGTATATATTTGTTTTATTTATTTGAGATAGGTTCTCACTGTGCAGCTCTTACTAGCTTGGGACTCACTATGTCATGCTGGTCTTGAATACAGATCTTTCTGCTGTGTTAAAGGTGTGTACCACCATGCCCATCCTATAGGCCAATTTTATGGTACATTTTCTCTATTGCAGTTGCCTTTCCTAGATGAGACTCTAGCTGTGTCCAGTTGACAAAAACTAGTCAGCACAGCACATAATTTCATTTCCTGGCTACTATCAGGTTGAGATTTTATTTTATTCCTATATTGTTTAAATAATGGTGTCCTTGGAGTGGGGAGGGGGCTCTGAGGAATCAGATGTAAGGTCCTGTATGTGCTAGGCAAATGCCCACCACTGAATAATATCCTAACCCTGTAAAATTTGAGGCAGGCGGATCTCTGTGAGTTCGAGACCAGCCTGGTCTACAAGAGCTAGTTCCAGGACAGGCTCCAAAGCCACAGAGAAACCCTATCTCGAAAACCCAAAAAAAAAATGTCTTAGTTTATGCTTTCATGAGGAAAGTTGGAGTTATACATTTCATTCTAGTTGTGTACACTCAGATATACCGCGTTAGCTTTCTGTTGCATTTATCTGATGACTGGGAATCTTAGTTACAAAATCTGTTACTTTAAAATCAACTTTTGTCAAGGCCAGGCATGGTGTCACAGGACTTTAATCTGAGATTTTGGTAGGCAAAGACAACAGGTCTCTGAGTTCAAGGCTAACATGGTCTAAGTTCTAAGAACAACCAAAGCTACATAATGAGATCCTGCCTTTAAAAATCAACTAACCAAACAAAATCCTTGCATGAGACACCCTGGTATTAGTTAGCTACTGAGTCTTCTTATCTTACCTGGCTGGAGTTCAAATTCTTTAGTTTGAAATCATTGGTTGATAGAATGTGGTGTTCCCCTTTTACTCATTGTCAGTTGGTAACTTCTCCAGCCCCTAAGCCTGCTGTCCTCAGTTCCCTGCTCTGTGGCTCTCTTCTCTCTCATCCTCTCAGAGTGCTGATAGAGAGCTTCCTCTAATTGTCAGGCCCTCTTAGTGATGGTTTCCCTCCTGATTAACTTAAAGCCCCCTCTGGAATCTTAATTACTCTGAAAAGCACTCCTACTTTGGTGCCTCTCCTCCTCCCACCCCCTTCAATGGAATCTGCTCTATCAAGTGGAACAGGGAGGATTAGATTGGTGAGAATTTACGGTGACATCTTATATAGAAAGTTTGCTTACCATATATAACCCACAAATAAAATGTTTCTATGAACTTATTGTGAAGGTCTGTGCTGGTTTTGAGCAAGCCCAGCAGGGTTTTATTGTAGGTACTATAGGATTTGAGTATAACTCTTCCGTGTTGTTTGTCCTTTGTTTAGAGATAATGAAGTTTCTGACAGAAGGAGATTATTGTTAGTAGAAAAGATATACTTGAAAGCTATTGTAACAGCAGGAGCCAAGGGTACTAGTTTTCTGTTTGTTTTACTTATAGTTGTTGGAAATGTTGTTGTCTCTGTCTCCCCCCCCCCCCCCCCCCCCCCCCCCCCCGTAACAATTTCTCTGTGTACCAGCCCTGGCTGTCCTGGACCTCGCTCTGTAGACCAGGCTAGCCTTGAACTCACAGAGATCCACCTGCCTCTGTCTCCCGAGTGCTGGCGTGCATCACTACCACCCGGCTGGAAATATTTTTTAAATTATTTTTTGATGATTTATTATTTTTTATGTGCACTGGTGTTTTGCTTGTGTGTATGTCTGTGTTAGATCCTCTGGGAACTGGAGTTACAGACAATTGTGAGCTGCTGTGTGGGTGCTAGGAATTGAACCAGTGTCCTCTGGAAGAGCAGCCAGTGCTTTTTAACCTCTGAGCCATCTCTCCAACCCCTGATGATGGAAATCTTAAAATCTCCAAAGGATCAAAGAATGAAGAATAAAGCTGACTCTGATTTTTGTTTTACCAGCCAGGTTCTTGTACTTGTGATTTGTAAAACTGTTTGGGCATGATGAGGGTAAGTGAATAAAACATGCTGCAGCTCGGAGCACTGACTGCTCCTGCAGAGGACTCCAGTTCGAAACCTAGTACCCATATGGCAGCTCACAACTTCAGGGGATCCAGTGCTTTCCAGGGGTATCTGGCATGTACGTGGTGCACAGACACTCACAGACAAAACATTCTTTTTTTTGTTTTTTTTTTTTTTTTTTTGTTTTTCGAGACAGGGTTTCTCTGTGGCTTTGGAGCCTGTCCTGGAACTAGCTCTTGTAGACCAGGCTGGTCTCGAACTCACAGAGATCCACCTGCCTCTGCCTCCCGAGTGCTGGGATTAAAGGCGTGCGCCACCACCGCCTGGCCAAAACATTCTTTTTTTTTTTTTTGGTTTTTCGAGACAGGGTTTCTCTGTGGTTAAACATTCATTTTTTTAAAGGGGGAAAATACTACATAATTTACTTACTGTGGAAATAAAAAGCCTAAGAGAATTATAAGTAGAGTACTAAACTGGCAGAAGAACAGCTCATTTGGGGGAAGTTTGAAGTTTCTTACTGAATGATGATCAAGAATGGCAAATACACCTCTAATCTGCTTTGGACTTGTTTTGTTGTTGTTTTGGGAAAAGGAGTTGCTGTGTAAGACTGGTCTGGAAGCAGCCCTATCTCAGCCTCTAGAGTGCTGTGACGACAGGCACAAGCTATTTGCAAGGCTGAAAGAGCTTTCTTCTTTTGCTGCTGGAAATCAAATCTACCTTTTTACTTTCAGACCAGGTCTAGTCCAGTATTTGTTTGCTTTCCAGCATTTAACGCCATCTTGTAGTCACTACCCGCACCTGTTTTGTCATGCCCTTGTCACATGGATCTGGTGGTGGTGGTGCACATTCAAACCGTGACACATGTGGAGGGATAGCTTCTCTTTCCCACCATGTGGGCTCCAAGGATCTAACTCGGGTCATCAGGATTGGTGCAAGGGCCTTTATCCACTTAGCCATCTTGCTGGCCTTTGCATTTTTAATTAAAATAAACTCATTGGGGTTTTAAAAAAAGTCTTTATAGCTTAGTTCCTTTAAGTAAGTGTGTGTGTGTGTGTGTGCGCCTTAGCATTTGGAAGACAGAAAAACATTCCGGCAGTACATAATCATAAAGGTAAAGAACATTAGCAAATCATGTTTGCAATACAGAGATAAACTAGTTTCTGTCCAAAAACATTTTGTGTAGTAAACTAACAAGTACTCTCTTCTAACTTGTGGGTGGTGGTAGTGGGTCTTCGGCAGTATTTTTCTTCTTACCACTAGATAGAATTGTGTGTCAGGTTTCTAACACCAACAACAGAGTTAGAGGTGGGCTAGAGAAGACATTCAATGTCATGTTGTCTGCTTTTCTAGCTAGCATCTTCTTTACCGCTCACCAGACTAAAAATGTTTCCGTGCTACCCTGCTCTCTGCTAGTTACCAGAGCATAGCACTTGGTGTCTACTGTTATCAAAATACTTGCTATACAATGATTTGTTTCTTTTTCTTCCCCCCTTTCTTCCTTCTTTTATAGCATACTCTTCTTGAAGGTAGGAAACTATGCCTTTCTTTTTGTTTAGTGCCTGTCACCAAGGAGATTCTTAAATCTAACACTGAGGGAAGGAATGAGGCAGTAACTGTAAAACCCAGACAGTATTGAGCACATGGTTGTTAGTGTGAGGACAAGCAAGACCTTAAACTTGGAGTCCCCAAGGAGAATTTCACTGTCACAGCATAGTGGAAGAGTGTCATGGTTCTAAATGCTACAGATTAATTATCACACAAGTTTAAGGGTGTTTAATCCACAGTCTAGCATTAAGTGGTAGTTGTTTACTTTCAGGCTTATGAGTTTATCTTTGGTTCCTTAGCAAAGCTACTAGTTTTCTGTTTTTGTTGTTTGTCCTTTTGTTACTGTTTGAGGATCTTTCTTTTTTTCTTTCTTTTTTTTTTTTTTTTTTTTTTTTTGGTTTTTCGAGACAGGGTTTCTCTGTGGCTTTGGAGCCTGTCCTGGAACTAGCTCTTGTAGACCAGGCTGGTCTCGAACTCATAGAGATCCGCCTGCCTCTGCCTCCCAAGTGCTGGGATTAAAGACGTGTGCCACCACCACCCGGCTTCCTTCCTTCCTTCCTTCCTTCCTTCCTTCCTTTCATTCTTCTTTCTTATCTTGAACAGGATCTTGATTTCTAGGTCAGGCTAGCTTAGAATTTGGAATATTCTTGCCTCAGCCTTCTTAGTACTGAATGAACAGAGCTAGTTTGTTGAATAGAGTGGAGATGCTAGCCTCAGTTCAACAGAAGATTACTATTTATCTGTTGTATAGTCTTACAGCCATAAGTCTTGTCAAATCTTTCTCAGCATGGTCACTTATAAGGTCAACTAAAAGTTGTAAAAATACATTGAGAAGAAAAATACAGTCTAGGCAGACATTCATCACTATACTTAGGTGATTTTACCTCAGGTCTTCTTACCATGAAACCTGATCATTAGGGTTTTAGAGTTAATACCAGCGAAAGGGATTATCAGTAGAAATTTGAGAATCAGGGACTTAGATTCCTGAGCTGTAATGTTTTTATCCCAAGACTTTTTGTGTGGGAAACTCCATTACTAGAGGCAATCTCTGCCTGCTGTATATTTTGATGTTTAAAGTTACTTTTTTCCTTAATCTCTCTGCTGATAGAATTATTAGATACCACAAAACTCAGACTGTCCTTCATAGGCTTGATTCTCCATATTGGTATGGTTAGCCATGAACTATCCTTTTCTTCTCCCTCTTTTTCCCAGATATCTCCCGGGGCCAATTCAGCACCTCTGCCTGGCCATCCTAACAAGGGGATTTGTGAAAGGGTGAGACTTCAGAGCCTGGTCCCTCTTCTCCCAAGTGATCAGAACACTACCGTTCAAGAGGATGCTCACTTCAAAGCTTTCTTCCAGGTTCTTATATGTTTACCCTTCCCTTACACAGAGCTGAGAATCACACATTCTAACTTGTTTCTCGGAAGACTTAAACAGACATCTCAGTAGCCTCTTTCTTTCTGTTGTGTGTGGGAATAAACACTCTTCTTAGAGGGCTTCTTCGGTGCAGCTTTCAGACAGCTTTTCTGAAAAATGTCTTCTCTTGAGCTACCTCTGCTCATTATTTGACCACTTAATATTCTGTTTGGAAAAAAATCTTTTTTGTCTTAGTCATTTGTCCAAGTCATTCAGTTTCTGTAAGAAAATATAGAAGACAAAGCCCAGCAGAGGTAGACAGATCTCTGTGAGTTCAAAGGCAGCCTAGTCTACAGAGTGAGTTCCAGGACAGCTAGGGCTGTTACACAGGTAAACCCTGTCTCAATACAATAGGAGATACTAAAATACGTAAGGTGTGTAGGAAAGGAAAAAAATGAAACACATATTTTAAGCCATTGCTACTTATTTACTTAGTGCCCAGAATTTTATAGTGATACATATTTCTAAAAGAGTACATTTCTGTATCTCTTGGTATCTACGGATAAAAAATATTTTGATGTTAAAAATTTTAATATAAGGTAAAAACCAGTGTACGTATTTTAAAACCATCATTAGATTAACAAGATTGCTTGTATCTGCTCATACCAATCACTGGCTTCTGAATTTTGACTCTATATTCCTGGGGAAGCATGCTTTAATAATGGAAATCAGTATTACTGATTTCAAAATAAGCCACATTTACAGATTAGCTTTTGAATGGTAGGTGTGTGCGTGCGTGCGTGCGTGCGTGCGTGCGTGTGTGTGTAAAAAGCCTGACTGGAGTATTAACATAGTTGATGGCCAAGTATTAATAGAAGCCACTTTTTTTTTTCTTTAGAAGTGACAGGTTGGTACCTGGAGCTGGTAAAGGAATACATTGTTTGACATGTGTTAGTTCTGTCAGTACCTGTAGGTAATCCAGGATATTTCACTCTGGTATTCCTTTTAGAATTTGTGCTGGATTCTCTGTTTTTAACTCTAAGAATAAGATGGGCACCTTGTTCTAGGTAAGGAAATAAGCTTTAAAAAGTTCCCCAAGGTGCACATTTTATTAGATCAAGGGACTCCTCAAATTCTTGCTGTGCCATGTTTTCTATATTACACTACCTTTAAATATCTAATGCATGTCTCTAAATACATTTTGTAAGTATTTAACACATAACTGTTTTAGGAGGTGTAATTGTCTCTGAAGTGAATGGCATATTGACTACCATGTTAATGACAGAATTATCTGTACACAGAAGTTCAGTATTATTAGTAGGTGGCTAATACTTAAGAAATTTAAAGCCAGGCTTGATAGCAAAGCACCTTCAACTCCAGCACTCCTGAGACTGATGGATGTTGATTTCTACAGGTTGAAGACGAGTCTGGGACAGCCAAGGCTACATAGAGAGACCCTGTCTCAAAAAACAAACAAACCAAACCTGAAGAAAGGAAAAGAACTAACTTAAGGCTGGGCATGGTCTCACATGCATTTAACCCAGTTTGGGAGGTAGAACCAGACAGATCTCTAAGTTGGAGGACAGCCTGGTCTATATAGTGAGTTTTAGGTCAACCAGGGCTCTTCTCTATCAAAAACAAAAACAAACAACAAAAAAACCCTCTACATCATACACTTAATTTAGCTAATGAGTGTCATTTTTTAGTTCCAACTGTACTTCTCCCCGAAACAGCCTGACTTGCTGCAGACAGTACTCAACATTCTCAGTGTTGAGAGCGCTTCCTGTTCTTATGAATATTGGAGTTTGGATCCCAACACCCACTTAGGACACAAATGCTTGTAACTCTAGCTGTAAGGGATCTGAAATCCTGTTCTGGCCTCCTAAAGTACCTGCATATGCGCACAAATATAAATAAATAAATTTAATAAATAAAATATGGTTATCTAATGGGAAGGAAATCCTCAGAAAGTCATTCCCTGTGGTGAGTTGTTGGTCTTTTTCTGGTACTGCCATCAGTACTGGACCCTCACCAAAACTTTTCTCGGACGTCCTGCTGTTGTCCCAGTCATGGAGATCTATGGTTGTGGTTCTGTAGGACCAGTCCCTTCACGTGCTCTAGCAGGTCGTAGATGGGGTAGATGTTGGGGTGGACCAGCTCAAAGGCCTCTACTGGGACCACCAAAGGGTGGTAGCTGAGTTGGTCAGTTCAGGCCTCTACCGGGACCACCTTCTTTGTAACTTTTATTTTGTCCTCTTTCTAAAAGTTTTTTTTTTTATTAAAGATTGATTTGTGTGCATGTGTGTAACGTGGATTCCAGTTGGTTTTAATAAAAACTCAGAGTCAGCTATCAGGGGTTAATGCTGAAGATCAGAGAAGCAGAGCTTCTCTTAGCTCTACCAATGCTCAGATCAAAGGTGATCCTGTCCTCAGACTGACTGCTTCAGACTGCTGCCTCAGACTGCATCTGAGCTCCTGTCTTCTCCTGCCTTATATTCCTCTCTCTATCCAGCCATATCCCTCCTGTCTCCACCTCTCTAGTGCTGGGATTAAAGACAACGGAACTCCCAAATACTGGGCCACCACCACCCAACCTATAGTGGCCTAGCTCTACACTCTGATCTACAAGCAAGCTTTTATTTGTTAAAACACAAACAAAAGCCGGGCTGTGGTGGTGCATGCCTTTAATCCCAGCACTCGGGAGGCAGAGGCAGGCGGATCTCTGTGAGTTCGAGACCAGCCTGGTCTACAAGAGCTAGTTCCAGGACAGGCTCCAAAACCACAGAGAAACCCTGTCTCGAAAAACCAAAAAAAAAAAAAACACAAACAAAATATTACTACATGTGTGCTTGCAATTGTGTGCATGTGTGTATGTACACCTGTGAGCACATGAACAGCCCTTCCCTTGGAACCATGACAAGGTTGTGATCCACCTACCTGGGTAATGGGAGCCAAACTCTGGAAGAGCAATATGTTTTCTTAAGTGCTAAGCCATCTCTCAAGCCCTGCCTTCCTTTTTGTTTGTTTGTTGGGTTATAGTTTGTTAAAATTTTGAGGCAAGGATTGCTGTATTGTTCAGGCTAGCTTTGAACTTGTGATTCACCTGCCTCTGTTGCCAGGTTCAACCTTTTTTTTTTCTTTCTCTCAAAGTCCCCCTCTGTTTCCTAGGTCAAGTTCCCATTTTCCAAGAACTCTCCTGTAGCCTTCTTTAGGCATAACATACTTATTTTTACTGCAAGCATGGAGTTGAATATATGGTTCATTGTTAAAGCAATTTAGACGGGTGGTGGTGGCGCACACCTTTAATCCCAGCACTTGGAAGGCAGAGGCAGATGAATCTATAAATTCAAGGTCAGCTATGGTATACAAGAATGAGTTCCAGGACAGCTAGGGCTGTTACCAATAAAAACCCTGTCTTGAAAACAAAAACAATTTAGCAGAGAATATTACTCTGATTCCTTTCTCTTGTTTCTGACAGTTCTCACTAGCCTGGAGACAAGGAGACTAGCTTGGCAGGGGCACCAGAGATCTACCTGTCTAGGCCTTCCAGGCACTGGAAGTGCACACATGTTCATACTTCCCCTCTTAAAATAGTTCTGGGGCTCATACCCAAGTCCTAAGGGTTTTTTTTTTTTAGTGACTGGACTGTGTCCCTAGCCTGCCATCAGTGTCAGTGAGCAGAAAGCTTTTGTCTTGTGTTGACACAGAGTTCAACCTTATTCCTCTAGTGCCTTGCACCTTATCTCTTGATATAGAATCTTGGTGGCTTGGAGCTCATCACAGTAGGAACCCTCCTGTTTCTGTCCATTCCCCAGTGCAGGAATCAGCCTTGCTTTTTAGTGCGTTTTGTGGATAGAGCTCAGGTCCTTAGACTTCCATGGCAGGTGCTTAACCTACTGAGTCATCTCCCCTGCCTGTTTCCTGTTTATTTTGTTTGTTTTATACTACACCTTTTAGTTGCAAACAAACAAAAAACCCCATGATTCAGAATTTTTGTGTCATTGTTGACTTTATTTTATAATTAAGGAATATTGTGTATGTCTTATCTGATTGATAACTAGGGCTGTGTAATGAACTTTTTCAAGAGTATCATAACCATCAAAATATAACCTGTCAAGTGTGAAAGAATAATTTAATACACCATGTGTAAATAAGGGATAGTTGTCTTTCAGTTAGCCTCACTGAGAAAAACATATTTAAGCATATCTGAGCATAATTTGATGTAAGCTTGTAAAGCATTAATGAGATATTCTGTAGCGGTTATTTTGTAAACTTTATTACTATCTGAAAATTTCCTGCTTTCCCAGGCTTATGTTTTCATTCACCTCAAAATGGATAACAAAAATAAATGTTACCCTTTACTGGCAAATTGCTTCTATAGTCTGCGTTATTTTTCTGCAGCACTTACATTTATGTAAGGTGGATAAAATTCAGTGAGTTTGTTGTCCCTGGAGTTTATTCAGTTTTTTGAGGGGGGATAAAGATGAAACGAGAAACCTCATATTTTGTTAAAGAGAAGACTTGTAGAAAAAGTCTGGGAGTTTGAAGAATTAGAGACTTTTAGATCACGCTGTGCTTGATCTAAGATGAAATTCTGATTCTCTTGTTGCTACAGCAAAGCACCCGACCAGTCCTGCAGGGAGGCAGATTTTTAGCTCACAGTTTGAGGTCATGCTCCCTTGTGGCAGTGGGAACAGGGAGCAGCGGGGTGCCTCACATTAAAGACGCAGAGACGAGTGTTGCTCAACTTTCTTGGTTCAGTCTAAAACACCAGCCCACGGACTGGGGCCACCATTTTTAGGATGGATCTTCTTGCCTCAGAATCTCATTTAGAAAAAGACATGTTCACAGGCTGAGTCAGTGGTTACTCTCTACCCCTTCATGTTGACAGTCAAGGTGAACTTTTACACCTCTCCCAGAACAGGCTGATTCCTTCCTCCTTTGGAATGACATCTTTGATAAGTGCAGTGGTTGCTAAAGTCAGGAACATTTTAGTCCTCAGGTAGAACCTGGGACCTGCTTCTGCTTCTCTTTGATATTCATTGTTAAAATACATCTATACCCTCCTGCCTTCTTTCTTCCCTTGATTGCTAATCTGTACCCCTGTTCTGTGCAGTAGAGATAGTAACTGTGACTTAACATCTTAGACATTTAAATTGTTGACAACTGGTACATTGAAAAGTTAGCTCACTGTTATAGTAAAGAATTCTCCACCTGAGAATTCAAAACAAAATTTTCTTTAAAAAGACGGTCCCATCTATCTGAATTCAGTGGTTGTTGAGTTTGGTTCTATCAGCGTCAAATATTACTGGGACTCATATATCAGAAATAGTGATTCATGCTAGGTAGGTGGGGCACACCTTTTTAATTCCAATGCTCAGGAGGTAGAGGCAAGTGGATTTCTGTGGGTTCAAGGCTAGCCTGGGTTACTTAGACACTGTCTTCAAAAACAAAAACATCTGTACTGAGGCACCACATAAACTGGGCCTTTAACTCCAGCAGTCAGGACAAGGTGGCAAGAGGATTAGAAATTCCAAGTCACTCTTAGCTGTTGGGCAAGTTGGAGGCCTGCCGGGGCTACTGGCAGAATCTTGCCTTTGTGTGTGTTGTTGGGGATTCTCAATATAAGAAATGGCTTTCTTAATAAAATTAAAACAAGTATATTTAAATAATATCATTAAGAGAATATAGGCTGGTGATAGTTTGGTGATACGCCTACTAAATAATTTGGAATGGTCAAATTTAACCTTTTAGCATTTATTTTTTTTAGAGATATGGTTTCATGTAGCATAAACTGGCCTTGAACTCACTCTGTAACCAAGGATAACCTCAGGTTATCAATCTTCTCCTTCATCTCCCAAATTCTAGAATTATATTGTAGGCTCAGCTCCATTTATTAATTTGCTTTGTCCCTAAAATTAGTTGTTTCTTATCTCTTTCAAAGTATGACATTGGGCTAGAAAGATGGCTTACCAGTCGAAAGCACGACATAGCTGCCAACCATTTGTAACTCAAGTTCCAGAGGACCTGATGTCCTCTTCTGCTCTGCACAGGCGTTGAATGCACTTGATGCATAAACACTCAAGCATAACATTCATATAATAAAATTAAAATGTAGTATGTATTCCTGTATATTTTGCTAATGTTTGATGTATTTGTGTTCCCCACAATTTATTTTGTAAACCAACTAAAAGTACTCCAATGCCTAATAATTAGAACTTAGGAATGTATATAGAAATAGGAACAATTCTTCTAAAAACAATAGACCTGTCAGATTTCAGCTAATTTTGAATTTTGTCAGTTTTGGTGAGACTTAATTGGGAAATTGATTGGCTGGGGTAATCCTGGAGTTAGTAGCAGTTACATGGTCATATGAATTGTATAGCTATAAAGCTTATACTGTAACCTTTGAACATTGGAGGATACTTCCAAAGTGCTGTGTCATTCTAAAAAGAATCAATTGATCTTAATCAGTTGACTCTGCGTAATATAAACTTCATTTTGTCCATGTAACTATCACAGAAGTAACTGCAGTAGCCCCAACAAGAGTGGTAGAGGTTTGTGATTAGCATTGTGTTCAGCTCCTACTCAGGAAGAGGGCAAGGCCTCTCCCTAAGCAAACTTGTTGTCACTAAAGGATAATGGCGTTTCTCCGGTGGGTCAGGAATTCTAGAAAGTCAGGTACTATAAAAGTTAGCTGTTCTGTTGTGTAGACTTAATATGTTGTTATCTAATATGGTGGTTTTTGAAACACTTCATTTTTCATTTGTATGTATTTACTGTGCAGTCCCTGCCCCTACATTTCTTAAGTTAGGATTTTTAATTTGGGTTGATAGTGCAATGTATAGCCTTGTTTTTTTTTTTTATGACAAATACAGTTTGGAATATGTATTGCATACATATGGAGTAATGTGAAATTCTGACATGGTTTTATTCAGTTGGTCATTTTTGTTGCATCGGCAGAGTGAAGATAGTCCAAGTCCTAAGAGACAGCGCCTCTCTCATTCAGTCTTCGATTATACATCCTCATCACCAGCTCCCTCACCACCAATGCGACCATGGGAGATGACATCAAATAGGCAGCCCCCTTCAGTCCGACCAAACCAGCACCACTTCTCAGGGGAACGATGCAACACACCTGCACGCAACAGAAGAAGGTTAGTCGTGTGCTGTATTTCTTTACTTTTCTTCCCCTGGTGGGTTTGTGTAAGCATATTTTTAGTGTCAGCATATTTTTGTAGACATTTCATAAATATCAGTACATGCACGTGTGTATATTCATGTATAAAATTATTAAAAGTTGGGCTATCTTAGGTTGGAGAGAGTTGATTAAGCTCTGCAGTAGTAGGTAACGAGACTGAAAGAGACTAAAGTTATCTAAAGTCAACCTATGCTAGTATATACAAATTAAACTAGCTTATGATTTAGGACTGATTATGAAGCTAGATTATAGCTTAAAGATAGATTATTTACCCAGTATCCACGAAAGTCCTGCACTCAGTAGCCCCCAACACACACTTCTTCTTATGCGCTAGTCTGCAATCAAGATAACTGAGAAATGGGTTCTATACTTCTGCCCTTTCCAGTGTTCTGTCATTTAAGAGCGTGACTACCAGGCAAATTATTTTATAGCTATCAAATATAAGTATGTAGAAATAGGATTGTCTATAAATGTTATAGCTTACATACCTGGCTGTACATAGTTTTTCCTATTTTATGGTGAACTGTTTGTTGTGCGTTCAGAACATGGAAAAAAATGTACAATCAAAAGGATAACATGAAGCAACTCCTAGGTTAAAACTGGCCTCTCATAAACTGCCCACCCACACTATCTTGTTATGCCATGCCATGCCTTGCCTTTTTTTTCCCAAGGAAATAAATTGGTAGTTTATGGATCTCCTGTTCATTGTGGTTTTGAATATATATTCCCTTTTTGTTTTGTTTTTTATTGTTTTTGTTTGTTTGTTGTTATTTTGAGACAGGGTTTCTCTGTATAGCCCTGGCTGTCCTGGATCTCGCTCCAATCTGCCTCTGCCTCCCCAGTGTTTGGATTAAAGGTGTGTGCCACCACTGTCCAGCAACCTATATATATTCTTAAGCAATACAGTTTGGGATTTTGTTTTCATTTAGATGTATTAGTCTTTGGCTTTATTAAGCGTTTTGTGTTTAATGTTGACAGAAATTGAACATTTATTTTTTTACTGTGGTATAATCTTACATTAAAGTATGATAATTTATCCACTTACTATTGGTTAATAGCCATATCTAGGTCATCATTATTACTGGAAAGAGTACTATTGGAACCTTTGCATACACATCTCATTTGAATGTGCAGAAGTTGTACCAGATAAAAACCTAAGATAGGAAGTGGATGTCAGGATGTGTTTACAGATGATAGTAACTAGCTTTTGTTTGTAAATTTGCAAAAAGAACCATGCTCTTCACTCATGGAGGAATAAGGGACACTTCGCACCCATAAAACAACAGTATGAATCACAACCCAGCAAATAAATACCCATGAGTCCACATTGAGGATAAACTACTAAGTAAATGATGAGAAGAAAGTGCTAACTTGGGCTGCCAAGATAGCTTAGGACATAAGAGTGCTTGTTGCCGAATCTGACAGCGTGAGTTTGAGCCCCGGACTCACTTATTAAAAGGAAAGCACGAACTCACGAAGGTCGTCCTCTGATCTGCACAGACACACCACAGCATGCATCACCATCCCCAGTACCTCATAAAAAAGTGTAAAATAAGAGGATGGTAACTTTTTCTTATGGAATAATTCTGTTAATAAGCATAGAAATGAGGGTAATAAAAAAATCCCTGTCAGAGTAACATAGTGATTCCTGCAGATCTATGCATGTTAAAATTGACTGGTGAATTTATATTTAAATTGGTCAGTTTTTAAAATTGATTGGGAGCCATAGCACTTATTTAATTTCTTAGCTTACCTTAGCATATATTATTTATAGGTAATAGATAATACAGAATCCTGATTGCTAAACATTATAGTAATGACCTTCTTTTTGGCATTTACCTTATTTTAGTCCTCCCGTCAGGCGTCAGCGAGGAAGAAGGGATCGTCTGTCTCGACATAATTCCATTAGTCAAGATGAAAACTATCACCATCTCCCTTATGCACAGCAGCAAGCAATAGAGGAACCTCGAGCCTTCCACCCTCCGAATGTATCTCCCCGTCTGTTACATCCAGCTGCTCATCCTCCCCAGCAGAATGCAGTCATGGTCGACATACATGATCAGGTACAGTAACAGAATTCCCTGGAAATACCAAGAGTAAAAGTTTGTAGTTTTCAAGGTAATTCATTGATTTTTGTTGTATGTTTCTTTAATTCCTGAAATGTAGCTATTTAGGTTCTCCATTCCTTTTAGTAAAAGAAATTTAACATAATGAGAGACTAACTTGGGCTACATAAGACTTGGGTTTCAAAAAGAAAATGTGAAGGAAGTACATTGTGAAAATTTATATAGCAGATGGGGATCAATACATGTTTGTTTGGGCAGGGTCTCATTTATCCCAAGCTGTCTTTTTTAATATACTATATATGTAAAAAAATGACCTTGAATTTCTGATCCTCTTATCTCTACCCCCCAATGCCATGATTACATGTTTGAGCCACAATGCCTAGTTTATGTGGTGATGGGGTCAAACCCAGGAATTCATAATATGACAAGTACCATACCAACTGAGCTGCCTCTCCAGGCCCTCAAATGTTAATTTTTAAAATAGGTCATGTTTTCTCAAAAGTTTTACTTTTCTTTCCTAAAAGCTCCATCAAGGAACAGTTCCTGTCTCCTACACGGTAACCACGGTGGCGCCCCATGGGATTCCACTCTGCACAGGTCAGCACATCCCTGCTTGCAGTGCACAACAGGTCCCAGGATGCTCTGTGGTCTTCAGTGGACAACACCTCCCTGTCTGTAGTGTGCCTCCTCCAGTAAGTCTGGGCCTTTATTCTCACTCAATCTTACTATTTAAAATAGCATGCCAACTGGGTTTTGTTTATGACTTAAAGTTCAGCAGTCCTCCCTTAGGATGGCTAACAGATACGATTTAAGAACTGTTTTAGTAGGTTCACTTGCAAGTAAAAAGTTTAATTTTACTGTAATAAAAATCTCAGCACAGGGCTGCAGAGATGGCTCAGAGGTTAAGAGCATTAGCTATTCTTCCAGAGATCCTGAGTTCAATTCCCAGCAACCACATGGTGCCTCCCAGGTACCTATAATGAGATTTGGTGCCCCCTATTTCTTCCTATATATAAACAATAATTAATCCTTAATAAAGATTGACTTTAGACTTAGTAATGTGATATTCAGCAGTTGACATTCTTAGCCCTTACTTCAGTGGGCTTCAGTGGGCACTCTTGAGAGCCTGTTTTGTTTTTCACCATGAGAAACCTGTTAATGAAAATGCTATTATCCCAATTTCTATAAACTTAATCTGGAAGGTAAAATTAACTTGCTTAGCGTCATAGAGATAATGAGATTCAGACAGCTAATTTTCCCTCTAACGCTATATATTCTATCTTGTAATATTTTGATTCCAAATATTAGAAAACAATGAAGGTAGTTGTGATCAGGAAAGCGCTTGGGAATACTGAGTATAAATTTAATCCCCTGGCCGGGCGGTGGTGGCACACACCTTTAATCCCAGCACTCGGGAGGCAGAGGCAGGAGGATCTCTGAGTTTGTGGTCTACAAGAGCTAGTTACAGGACAGGACCCAAAAAAGCTATGAAGAAACCCTGTCTCGAAAATAAAAGGAAAAAAAATTAATGCCCTGGTCTGCTCGGGAAGTTAAAGCACACACACATGTGTCAGTGACAGTTTAGCAATTAATTCAGTGACCCAAGCTGGTCCCTGAGGGGCAGAGTGAAGGATTGATGAGATGGTTGTGAGGAAGAGCCCCTTTGCCTGCATAGCACTCCCTCTCCTTCATTTCATTCAATTAGAACAATTATACAATACAACTACACTGTTTACCATTCTTACTGATAGATGCAGAAATATTCGAGTACTTACTATGAGTTTTGGGAGGTGTGGTAATTTGATTCATACCTTTGTCAAGAAAATTGTATATTCTGACATTTTTAAACTAAAAGTAATGCTTTTCCCTTACAGATGCTTCAGGCCTGTTCGGTTCAGCACTTACCAGTACCATATGCTGCGTTCCCACCCCTTATTTCTAGTGATCCATTTCTTATACACCCTCCTCACCTTTCTCCCCACCATCCTCCTCACTTGGCACCGCCAGGCCAGTTTGTCCCTTTCCAGACACAGCAGTCACGATCGGTAGGTACTTCTAGTCATGTTTCTAGTTTTCCTGGGGTGTTTAAGTTTGGTTAATTAGTTTAGTAAGTGTAAGTAATTGCCATTTAAACACTGTGACTTTGGTATTCTTTTTTTTTTTTTTTTTTTTTTGTTTTTTGCTTTTTTCGAGACAGGGTTTCTCTGTGGTTTTGGAGCCTGTCCTGGAACTAGCTCTTGTAGACCAGGCTGGTTTCGAACTCACAGAGATCCTCCTGTCTCTGCCTCCCAAGTGCTAGGATTAAAGGCATGTGCCACCACCGCCCGGCTAACTTTGGTATTCTTAAAGCTCTTAAAGAATTAAAGAAACTTACAGGTAAATAAATTAGTTTAAACATACTTTAGAATTAGCTTGGTTTTTCTTAGTTTAGTATCACTTAACTAAGTGAAATTTTATTGTTTCTGCATATCTGCAGTCTTTCAGGCAGCTCAAAGCAAAGTTCCTACCTAATTGGTTCTAGTTTTTCCCATTTTTTTTTTAAATATTTATTTATTTATCATGTATACAATATTCTGTCTGTGTTTATGCCTGCAGGCCAGAAGAGGGCACCAGACCCCATTACAGATGGTTGTGAGCCACCATGTGGTTGCTGGGAATTGAACTCAGGACCTTTGGAAGAGCAGGCAATGCTCTTAACCTCTGAGCCATCTCTCCAGCCCTAGTTTTTCCCATTTTATATAGTCTATGATTTTTAAGTCTATTGTGTGTGTACATTCTGTAGTTGGTGGTGGGGTGGGCATGGCATGTGTGGAAGTCAGGACAACTCTGGAGTGGTTTTCTTCCACCTTTTATGTGCATTCTAGAACTGAAGTCAGTTTGCCGGCATTGCTCAGTAAGCAACAGCACCTCCTGAGCCATCTCACTGGCCGCTAGCATGTATTTCTCTGAAAAATAGAACCCTTATAATTGTCAGTACTTACTGTTTTAGAAAGGGGGGAGGAGAGATAGGAGAGGCTCTGTGTGTGTGTGTGTGTGTGTCTGTCTGTCTGTCTGTCTGTCTATGTACAGCATCTGTGCAGGTGCCTATAGAAACCAGAAGAGGGCATCAGATCCTCCTGGAGCTGAAGTTTCAGTTTGTTGTGAACCACCCAATGTGGGTGCTGGCTACTGAATTCTGCCTGTCAGAGCAACAACCTCTTAGCCATCTCTGCAGCCCCAAAGAGCTTTCTTCTCCTCCTCTCTCTTCCCCTTCCTTCTTCTCTTCACCTCCTTCTTCTTCCTCCTCCCCTCTCCTCCCTTTTTTCTCTTCGTTTTTTCTTGGCCTGTATGTTTTGTTTTTTGTTTTTTTTTTTTTTTTTGGAACAGAGTCTCCTTTAACCCAAGTTCATGAGACCTTGTATTCTAGAAGCTTGAAACGAGGCCACCTATTTTAAGTTTAAGAAAAACACACTACATGGTATGAAGTACAATGTGCTTTGTAGTCGTTGTTGACTTAGTGTGTCCCAGGCTGTCCTTAGTTTTCCTGTCTTCACCCCAAGTGTTAAGATTATAAGTATATGCAGGGCAGTAGTGGCGCACACCTTTAATCCTAGCACTCGGGAGACAAAGGCAGGTGGATCTCTGTGAGTTTGAGGCCAGCCTGGTCTACAAGAGCTAGTTTCAGGACAGGCTCCAAAGCTGCAGAGAAACCCTGTCTTGAAAAACCAAAAAAGAAAAAAAAAATTATAAGTATATGCTACCATGCCCAGCCACAATATACTTCAAAAATTAAGAATGTCAGTTTTGTAAATAAGAATATTAATTCATATATTATCTAAAAATCACATGTTGATTTGACACCATGACTTTTGTAGTAGAGTGAATTTGTATAGCGTACCCCACTGTTCCTGCTTCTGAATTATACACACACCATATGCTCGTTCATCAGGGAGGCTCAGTGTCTGAGAATTCTCTGTTGATCAGGGTGTTATGACAGCTCAAACTTGAACTTCCGTATAATTGACTTTTTCCCCTCCCATTTTAAAATTTAGAGATCTTAAAGGACGTGTGTACTATAATGGGTCACAGAAATGCTTAATGTATAATTAACACAAACTAAAAATCAAGGTAGGAAACGTGTCCACCTGTTTTTGTTGGTTTGGTTGATTGGTTGGTTTGGTTTTTCAAGGCAGGGTTTCTCTGTAGCATTGGAGCCTGTCCTGGAACTAGCTCTTGTAGACCAGGCTGGCCTCAAACTCACAGAGATCCGCCTGTCTCTGTCTCCCGAGTGCTGGGATTAAAGGTGTGCGCCACCACTGCCCAGCTGTATTTTAGTTTAAGACAACCTTGGCCTTGAAAATATTTTTTTATTGTTTTATTATTTAAAAAAGCATCAGGAGCACATTGATTTCTTTTTTCTCTCCACAGCCTCTACAGAGGATAGAAAATGAAGTGGAACTCTTAGGAGAACATCTTCAAGTGGGCAGTTTTACTTATCCCCCCTCGGCCCATCCCCCAGCATTACCTCCGTCAGCTCCTTTGCAGTTCCTGACACATGATCCTCTGCATCAGGAGGTGTCCTTCGGCGTAGTAAGGCTTTATACGTTGTTACATTCATTTATTTGCTCGAGAGCTTATTTTAGTTGTTTTCAGTGTAACTCTGAAAATGTTCAGAGCTCATGTATTCTGAAAATCACATGTGTGTGTATTTTATCCTTGGCTGTTTTAGCTATATTATCATTAAGGAATTAGTTAATGCCACCTGAATAGTAAGATTTTTAAAAATCAAACAAGTGGCAGTCAGGCCTGGTGGCATAGGCCTATAATCCCAGCACTGAGAAGGTAGAAGCAGGGGGATTGTTTGCAAGTTCAAGGCCATCTTTGTCTGCAAGGCAGGTTCCTGGCCAGTCTAAGCTAGGTAGCCAGACCCTATCTTAAAAAAACAAGTTGGGAAACTGAATGTTCTGGTGCACACCTTTAGTCCCTGCACTTGGGAGGCAGAGGCAGCTGTATCTCTGTGAGTTGGAGGCCAGCCCAGGACAACTAGTGCTATGTAGAGAAACTTTGTCTCAAAAAAACAAAAAACGAAAAACACCAAGTGGGGACTAGTGAGGTAGCTCAGAGGGTAAGAGCACTTGCCATTTAAGTTCAATAAATAAATTATTTGACATTGTTTGCAAACATAGAATGATCATTCTCAACCTTTGTCTCCTACAGCCTTATCCTCCATTCATGCCTCGGAGACTCACAGGGCGCAGTAGATACCGATCCCAGCAGCCAGTACCACCTCCCCCTTACCATCCAAGCTTACTGCCTTATGTGTTGTAAGTTCCTTCTGCTTATTCTCTTGAGAGTCCTTTATGAGTGGCTTCTCTGTGGCATGTGACTTAGTATGTGTCAAAACATGTTAAGTGGTTATGGGGTTACAGATCCAATTAAGGAAGAAACGGGGGAGGAAAAAACCCAAGACAAATTGTTTAGCGAATTATAAGATAGAAAAATTTAAAGTATTTGCCACTTATACAGTTAGGATCACTTTTTAAAGATTTCAATTTGTGCCTTTTGCCTCTTAAGTGTGTATTGTATACCATGTGTGCATGCAGTACTTATAGATGCCAGAGGAGGGCATTGGATCCCTGAAACTGGAGTTAGAGATGGTTGTGAGCAACTATATGGGTAGTGGGAACTGAACCCACATTTTCTGCAAGAACAGCAAATACGCCGGGCGGTGGTGGCGCACGCCTTTAATCCCAGCACTCGGGAGGCAGAGGCAGGCGGATCTCTGTGAGTTCGAGACCAGCCTGGTCTACAAGAGCTAGTTCCAGGACAGGCTCCAAAACCACAGAGAAACCCTGTCTCGAAAAACCAAAAAAAAAAAAAAAAAAGAACAGCAAATACTCTTAACTGCTGAGCCATCTTTTTAGCCCTGGAGTCACTTCAAAACAGACAAAACCCGTTTTTATATTTGTCATGCATGATGTAGGGGAGCACATGCATGCTACTGCTTGTGTGTGAAGGTCAGATGATACCTTGGAAAGGTCTGTTCCTCTACCATGTGAACTCTAGGGATCAAACTCTTGATCAGGAGTGCTGGGAGGACCTTTACTGAACTATCTCTCTTAGGCCCTAGAATCACTTTTGATTATCCAGCTTTGATGGTATTTTTCTTGGAAAAGACAAGAAGTCATTTTTGCATTTTAGAACTATGCTGTTGGGATTAAGTTTACTTGTAATGAACATTGTGGTTTAAATGTGATAGTTTTTTATTTCCTTCTGACATAGCGAGATGTAGTAGACCAAGTCTAGAGTGTTTTGTTAGCATTGTGTCTATGAGAATGGATTCTTCTGTCCTTGGGTGTGCTCATGACCCTCCTGCTCCAGCCACCATGTCAGGAATGGGAATCTGAGTGTGGGGTACACTGTCATCTCAGGAGTCCTGCCCTTAAGTTCAGTGCCAGTACCATGTCAGGCAGGGTTATATAGCACGACCCCATCTCAAAGAAGCAAAAGTTTAAAAAGAAAAGAAAGAGGTTCCTCTGCCTACTGCTTCTCTGGACAACATTTCCCAGAATGAAACACATTACTATTACTGATACCTCATTGACTGGGACTTGGTCACATGTCTATACTTACTTTCTAGAACAAATATCTTAGCTCAAAGGTGATCTTTAAACTACAAGTTATTTTTCTGGTAATTTTAGTTCCCTCACTCCCCCTCTCTTGTCTGTTTGTCTTAAAATAAGGTAATATAACCTCCGAGCTTAGCTGAAAAGTGTTTAATTTAATTTAATTCTTCATTTTCAGATAAATTATAAAATCAGCATCCATTTTGCATTAAAAGACATAAAAAACGGGGCTGGAGAGATGGCTTAGTGGTTAAGAGCACTGGCTGTTCTCCCACAGGACCTGGGTTCGCTTTCCAGCACCCACATGGCAGCTCACAACTGTCTGTAACTTCATGCACCTAAAATAAAGTTAAATAAATTATAAAAAAAGACATAAAAAACTTAATGAAGTTTTGTATTAAATCTATAGATTAATATGGTGGAATAGTGATAACTATTGATTTTTCTAGTCTACTTATATTTTACTGTTTATCCTAGCAGTTTTTTATAGGCCTTACACGTTTTACTAAGTCTATTCCTACATTATTGCATTTATTAAGTGTCAGTATGTGCACGTATGCCTGTGTACACATTGCAGACTTTGGCCCACTTGTGGGAGTCAGTTGGGTTTTCTCTCTCCACCATGTGGGTTCTGGGGATCAAGTTCAGATTATCAGGCTTAAACAGAACTCCTTTACCTGCTGAGCCGTCTCTGGTGGCCTTCACATTTGTCTTGTTGTGCTATTGTAAATGGCTTGTCCTGCTCCTAGTAAAGCCAGTGCCCTTAAAGGGTTGCCGCTAGTAAACACTGACCGTTCTTCATCCATGTAATCTGACCTTTGTCCTCTGCCGTTTGTATTCATGTACTAACATATAAACACTTCCTTGGTGGTTTTCTTTGTAGATCAATGCTTCCAGTACCACCTGCTGTGGGCCCAACTTTCAGCTTTGAATTGGATGTAGAAGATGGAGAAGTAGAAAATTACGAGGTTAGTAGAGGAAGTGTGAATTTATTTAGGGAGTATTGTGTAATGTCCTATACTTTCATATAGGCATTTATTAGATTAACTTTGCATTTTAAGATACAAATGAAATTTATAATTCATAAAATTGTTTAGCATCCCTAGGATTTTCCGTATACCTATTATAGTAAGTAGACTAGTTCTATTCTAGTTCAGTTCCAGAGAGAGAATACAAATGATGAGGAAGTGGTGGGTTTTGATTAGGTGTTCAGAAAAGATTTGTGGAAGCAAAGATGTTTAGAAAGGTGTTCTATTTTATTTTTGCATAAGGTTGAGGGAGCTACATTGTGGTACATAGCATATGGTGTGCAGCTCACGTGGAAGGAGTGTGGACCTGGCGGGTGACTCGTGCCTGCGACGCTGCACTCGTTTGAGGCTTAGCCCAGGGTACATAGTAAAGACCTTGTCTTAAAAAAAGAAAGGGAGAAAATGGAGATTTGAGGCATGATATTGGGATTAGTGCTTAATAGTCTGAGTTGGGAGGACCCTGAGTTCAGGATTAGCCTGAGCTATATGGCAAGACACATGTCTTTGTAAAAAAGGTTAAAGCAGATAAGTAATGAGCCATTAAAAATCCAGGAAGAATGAGATACTAGTGTAAAATCAATAAACATAATTGTAACATCCTAAAGATGCATCAAATGTTTTAAATATGAATTTATGTTAAATACTTGTAAAAACCCAATTCATTCATTAGTCTTTTTTATCTTTCCTTTTCTTTATATACTACTGGGTACAGTTTGGTGTGGGGGAAGTTTCTCATAAGAAAATTTCTTTGAATAATGGTGGAATTAGTATCATTTTACCAGCCTTGAATTAATGGCACCACACCATCCTGAGTCCCTAATGATTTAATAGTGGACACAGTAGGCCTGATGAACACAGAGAAGATCAGATCTTTCAGTGAACAGAAAGTGTAGTGGGCGAAAAATGTACTGAACCAGATAGGTCAGGAATGGAAAGTTAGTTAGATCACATTGGGAATGTCTGTATTTTTGATTGTTTTTATTTCGAGACAGGTTCCCCATGCTGACCTTTAACTTGTTATATAGCCTTGAACTTATGATTATTCCCTCCTCTGCCTTTCAAGTGCTGCTGGAAATGGTCCTACCATGTTTTTACAAGACTTGACATATGAAACCATGATAGCGTTGGATCCTAATTTGGATAAAATACTTGTTTTGAAAATAATTAGTAGTATTTGAACATTAATTGGGTATTGTTAAATTTTTTGACACGATGCCATTATTGTGTATTTTATGGGTATAGATGTTTTGCTTGCGTGTGTGTTTGTGTGCCATGTATGTGCCTGATGCCCTTGGAGTCCAGGAGGGTGTCAGATGGTTGTGAACCCCATGTGGGTACTGGGAATTGAACTAGGATCCTCTGGAGGAGAAGCCAGTGCTCTTAACTGCTGAGCCATTATCTTATTTAGGTTTTCAAATGAAGAGACACCAGGACCATGGCAACTTTTATAAAGAAAAACACTTAATTTGGGTAGCTTACAGTTTAAGATTTAGTCCATTATCATCATGGTGGGGCGTGGTGGTATGTAGGCTGGCATGGTGCTGGAGAAGGAGCTGAGAGTTTTACATCTTGATCAGCAGGTAACAAGAAGCAAATTGAGTTCTACTCTGGGTGTAGCTTGAGCATAGGAGCCTGCCCTACAGTGACACAAGGCCATACCTGTCAACAGTGCCACTCCCTATAGTCTCATAGGGGCCAATTACATTCAAACCACCACAGCCATCTTTTTAGCCCTATTGTGTTCTTTTGAAAAGTCTTATCTTTAATAAGTTATGTAGTAGATGTAATCCACCTCCCTGATGCTCATTTTGCAGGTGTTAAAGTAATTCATACAGTTCAGTCATATCTAAACTTATGTCTTTAAAACTATTGTTTGTGTGTATGTCTGTTTATATGTCTGTCCGGGTGTGTGCCTTTGCCGTGCCGTGAAGTAATTTGTGGGAGTTGGTTCTCCTGTCTTGAGATGAATTAAGCCAAGGTTGTCAGGTTTAGTGGCAAGTGCCTTTACCTGTTGAGTCAGAGACATTTTTATTAGAGCAGCTGATCTGTTGCATATTCATCTCTGTATTGTATTAGAAATGGATCTGTTTTTGGTAAAAAGCATTCCATAATTTTTATGAAATTAATTTTTACTCCCGTGGTGACTGTACCCTTCCTCTCCTGAAAAATACCACTTAAAACAGATCCAGGAGAGATTGACTTCCAGTTCAATGACAGTTCTTTTGGTCATAGAAAGATTTACTGAACGCAAATGTGAAAAATCTTAAAAAGTCAGGGTGCAGTCTCAGAGAAATATGAAAGGAGTCAAGTTAAGGTTGTTATCCGAGGAACCTCACTCAGTTCTAGCCTAAGTAAAGTTTTTTTTTTTTTTTTTTTTTTTTTTTTTATAAAATAAAAGACTTAAGTTATGGACAGAGACTGCACTTTTGTTTCTCAGCTGCTCAGACCCAAATAATCACACAGAAACTATATTAATTACAACACTCTTTGGCCAATGGCTCAGGCGTGTTTCTAGCTAACTCTTACATTTTAAACTAACCCATTTCAGTTATGTTGTATTTTACCATGAGGCTTGTGGTGTGTTACCTTACATCTTACTTCTTCGGCGACTACGTGGCGTCTACCTTCTTTCTCCCTTCATTCAGTTTAATTTTCCCGCCTAGCTATATTCTGCCCTGTCATAGGTCATAGCAGCTTCTTTATTAACTAGTGGAAATAAAACATATTCACAGCATGCAGAGGGGCATCCCACACCAGTAAGTGCTGGGCATGTTGCCCTCACACCAGTAATCCTACCCCTTGAGACCTTGAAACAGGAGTGTTGCCATGAGCTTGGAGCTAACCTGAGCTACATTCTAAGTTCCAAGACAGCTTAGGCTACAAAGAGATCTTGTTTTAAGGGAAAAAAATTAAATTAAAAAAAAAAAAAGAAGTTCCTCCATTGGATGCCAAAGAGATGGCTCAATGGGTAAATGCTCTTGCCACTAAACCTGATGACCTGAGTTCAGTCCCTGGGACCCACCCACCTGGAGCAAAGAGAACTGATCCCCCCACCGCACACACACACTGTCCTCTGACCTCTGCATGTGTGTGCATGTGCACATAGATGAGTCATTAAACTATCATATTACTCCAGATGAAAATCTGTCTCCTTTCCCTTCCCGTAGGCCCTGCTGAACCTGGCAGAACGACTGGGAGAGGCGAAGCCTCGGGGACTGACTAAAGCAGATATCGAACAGCTTCCCTCCTACAGGTTCAACCCTAACAACCACCAGTCGGAGCAGACTTTGTAAGTGTGTTTGTTTCTTAGTCACAATAGCAGGGGTCTTCCGTTAGGAGGTTTAAATACGGAATGGGCTGAAGTTCATCAAGTTCAGCTGTTTAGTGTGTTTAGCATGTTTGTAAAGTTGTACAACCATCACCACAGATGTAGACCGTTTCATTGCTGCACAGAGTGGTTTCTTCTCTCTTGCTAGTAGCTAACTCCCTGTGTCTTCTCAACCCTCCTTCTTCATGCTTTATCTCCTGCCTCTCAATGTCACACGTCTAGACTCCTGTAATACAGTGCTTCTCAACCTCATGTTATGGTGGCCCCCAACCCTATTATTTTCTTGCTACTTCATAACTATAATTTTGCTACTGTTGTGAATTGTAAATATCTAATATGTAGGATATCTGATATGTGACCCCTGTGAAAGGGTTGTTTGATGCACCCCACCCTCCAGAGGTCACAATCCACAGTTTGAAAAAACAGTGCTATAATATCGTGTCTTTAGTCTGCCCAGAAAGTCAACATAGCATAACTTTTTTTCAGGTCCAGGTAGCAGCTTGTATCAACATTCATTTTTATGGCTAAAAATACTCCATGGTATAGATAGATATACTATGTTTATCCCTTCTTTAGTTGATGGACATTTGGGTTGTTTTCACTGAGTTTTTTTTAGATTTATTTTTTGCATGAGTGCTCTGTATGAACACCTGCACACCAGAAGAGGGCATCAGATCCTATTACAGATGGTCGTGAGCCACCATGTGGGTGCTGGGAATTAAACTCAGGACCTCTGGAAGAATAGCTAGTGTTTTAACTGCTAAGCCATCTTTCCAGCCCCCACTGCTTGACTCTTACAAATAATGCTTTATTATATACTATATATATATATATATATATATATATAAAATAAACTTTATATACTCTTAGATCACAAAAATTTACTGTTTTTCCCCTTAATCTAGAATTTTGATCCATTGTTTTTAGATAAATTATTTTTGCATACGTATGTGTTTGTTGTATGTGTGCAGGTACACACGCGTGTGTGTGCCCATAGAGGTCAGAAGTTGACATCAGGTCTTTTCAACCATTCTCCACTTTAAGGCAGGGAATCTCACTGGTTCACTCAACCTCCTTGATTCACTAGCCAGCTTGTCTCAGAGAAAAACGGTTAACACTGAACCGTCTCTCCAGCTCCTTAACCAGAGATGTCTTGACAATCTGTTAGTAAAGAACCCTAAGTAAATCTACCTTAGCATCCTCATTTTCAGGAATAGTGGTAATTTTAAAAAATAAATAATATTTTGATAACCGCGAATGACTTTGTAATTGTGATAGTCATAACAAATAGAAAACCGAAAATGTGCTCTTTTCCAGGTGTGTAGTATGCATGTGTGATTTTGAGTCGAGGCAGCTTCTTAGAGTCTTACCCTGTAACCACGAGTTCCATGCCAAGTGTGTCGATAAATGGCTTAAGGTAAAGTGATCATGAGTACAAAGAAAGTACTTTTCAAGTATTTCTTTGCATACTCTTAATTTATGTGAATAAAATATACATAATTTAAATAGTCCAGTTTGAATTTTTTGTAGAATGTGCTAATTAAGCAGTTTAGTAACTAATAAAGAAATCAGTTAAGGAGAACTGGTGTCTGGTCATACCTGTAATCCTAGCACATGAAGAGAGGCTAAGGCAGGAAAGTGAGATCTGTCTAATGAAGAAGAGAAGGAATGAACAAACTAAATCATGAAATGAAGAGTATGAACTTTTTAGGAAAAACAAAACAAAAACATGGCTTGTGCAAAGCCCTAATGTGTGAAGAGGGAATAGTCAAGGAACCACAAGTCCCTGCAACTGAGGACGAGAGTGAGGGCGTGTGAGGGGAGAGGTGCACAAAGGGAGGACTTAGAATGTGCGCGGTTATTGCAAAGCCATTCTAAAGCCTGCGTGAGTTTAGACTTGATTCTGAAAGCAAGGGGAAGGGTGTGGCTACAGTCGTGTTTTAAAAACCTCATTGGCCACTGTTTAGAGACAGACAGGAATGAGACAGGAAGGATGGTTGTTGAGGGAAGAAGATGGAGTAGGTTAAGGGTGAGCCAGTCATACTATGTTGTGACAATCAGATAACAGGATCGCTCTCTCTGAGCTCCATCCACCGTGAGTGATGGAGTGTAGAGGTAAGACAGTAAATAAGTGATCATTGTGTTTCCCTGTCTGTGGAAGTAGAGAAAAAACTGCTTTAGGAGCCAAGGAAAGGAGTAAGTGGAACCATGTGTGTATGACCTTATCCTGTTTATCCCAACTCTCAAGAGGCAAAGGCAGGTGAATGTCCTTGAGTTGAGGTTAGCCTGATCTACAGGACAAGTTCCAGGATAGCTAGAGCTACAAAATAAACCCTGCTTCAAAAAAAAAAGTGAAGGAAGGCTAGGGCCATGCTCTTGGGATATTCCTACTGTCCTAGCACTCAGGAGGAGGTAGGAACGGGAGAATGAGAAGTTCAGTGCCCAAAGTCCTGTTTCAAAAAAAGATCTAGGTTAGTGTGTTTGACACCTTGGATTTAATCCCCAGCTCCACCTATGTTGTTCTTGCGGTGGGGTTGGAGGGGAGGCGGAGCAAGGTTTTGATTTTAAGTTATTTACTAAGTTTTTCCAGACTAGAGATAGATAGCAAGTCTTGTTTACGAGTTTAACAAAGTCAATCTTGAGATTTGTGTAGGTTGTCTTGCTTTGTTTTGTTTTTTATTGTGTTTTATTTTTAAAAAAGGGTCTCATGTAGCTTAGGCTGGCTTGAAACTCTTAATCCTCCTGCCTCTACCTACAAGTGTTAGGATAGCAGGTTTGCACAGCCACCCTGGTTTAGAATTGGTTTGTTTTTAAGGGATCAGAATATAAAGATCTTACGGGATTATCGGTAGACCTGGGTACTTCACTAGTGAGTATGAGATGCAACTCCAGTGAGCTTCCTCTTGTTTTTCAGGGAAATCGTACTTGCCCAATTTGCCGAGCTGATGCTTCAGAAGTACATCGGGATTCAGAGTGACCAGCCTACGAGCACAGATTTAGTTTGGGTGTTCCTCATCACGTGTATATATGGACTATCCATTGAACTTAACCTGTGTGGCTTCCAGCCCTCCCTTTACCAAAAGGGTCAATGGACCTTTCTTTGCACTGTGTGACTTAATCAACTATAAAAGCTTACAATTAGTCTTCACAATTATGGGATTGTTATACTAACTGTGTGATTGGAACTCCAAAGATCTTTTCTTTAGCTTAATTTCGTGTGTGCACTAACATTCCCTGGTTTTTGTGTGATCATTCCGAGTGTTGCTGCAAGATTACAGTGGACGTGATCTTTTAGCATGTGCTTTTATAAAAAGTGGTAGCTCCAGATGATATAGCAATCTACCTTATATAGAGCCTTCAGAAACTGTGAGTGGAAATGAGTGCAGCGTGTGGACTGTGTGAGAGAGTGTGTGCAACTACACGTGTGGGGGCATGGTAGCTACTGCGTGTGTGAGATCCTATATACCAGCATGTACCAAGAATGTGTGTGTAGTTTTAATTATGCTGCAATGTATAATCTGGTGTGTTATTTAAACAGCACTAGTACTGTACACTGGTTTTCCCCTTGTGTTTGCTGTTGCACACTGATTGCTAAGGGTGCATCAATTCTAAGCATTGAATACTCCGTCCCCTTCCCTCCCAAGGAATGGAATGAGAAAAGCCTTCTTCGTTTGCTTCAGGCAGCTGTCCCCTTCTCTTCCTCTGTGATCCTAAGTGGGTCACTTAAGAAAAAATGTCAGATTCTCACTCCATGACCTGATTTTTTTTTCTTCAATTCTGTTGTAAAAGAAACTTTTAAGTCTCCAACTTGCTATTTCCAAAAAGAAGGTGCAATATCACGATCCTCATTAGCAATATCGGCATTTCAGTCGGAGATCTGAGTGTTACTGCTTCTTGTTTCTCCTTTACATTTCCAGTAGCGTTTTACGGAAAGGACCTGTGATTTTATTCATGTGTAGATTTGTAGTCTGTTTCGAAGATGTTTGAGTAATATATTTTTAAGAACACCACTGGTCCCATAAGTATCGCCTTCTTGACTTCCCGTAGAACAAAATCTGTTATCTAACTCAGCCTGGTTTCTGGTGTGTGTTCTTCGCTCAGGCCTCCATGGGTAACTAAATTGTTTTAAGAGAGCTATTTCTGTTAGTGTTAATTGAATTCCCACACTCTGGTCCTGAAGTTCTCTAGTTCTTTCCTCAGTAAACATTCTCGTCGAAACCTTTGTTTCAGGATGATCGAGTGCTGTGACAGCTCCCTTCTTAGGTCTGGTTTGCTTTGATGTCTTACTCTTTCTCTTTTATGTCAGAATGAGAAAAAGCTTAATACAACAGGTGCCCAGAATACTTGCAGAGTAAATGAAGATTGGATTTTGTATAAAAAATAATAATGCTGTCAAACAGGAATTGACCTTTATTTAATCGGAAATGATACATAGCCGTGTAAAACAAGACAGTTTGATTGACCATAAATCAGATGGTTGGAAGTCACTTTTCAGCAATTGGATTCCTTCCTCCTTCTCTCAGTGTGCTCAGCCTTGTCTGCCTCTTTGTGAGTTCTCGGCTTCTGTCTGCAGCCACGCATGCTGCAGCCTTCCGGTCACAACTGTGACACTTTGCTGCCAACCTCACTCAACTCGCAATTGGCACTGGGCCTTTTTTTTTACTCTGACAGGGAGAGTGTTCAACTACTTGCTACTGCCGTGTTCCTTACCCTCCCTTGAAGTCTCTAAGCTCACCACAGCCTAGAGTTCAGGAAAGTCAATCCACACAGAAGCACAATTTTGTCTTCTTCAGACACTGTTGCCTCTCTAGTCAGACAATAGGATTTGACTATTTTCTGTTTGCCCTAGACTAAGTGTGTCAGAAATACACTGAAACAGTGGTGAATGCACGTGTTACTTTTAAATCGTTAGGATACCCCTCCCGTTCCTAATGATGAAAAGGTGTGTTAAAGTCAAAATTAATGGCTTATAATAGTCATCTCCAAATCACATGCAGTTTAATCTTTATTTTTTAATTTAAAGAAATCATGTTTAAAATGACAAAAGTCCATATTATATATACACTTTTATATAGCTGCAAAAACTTTATACCTGTCCAGCTCTCACATGACTGCTCCACTCGGTGTTTGTGTTATTGATGCACATAAGTGAAGCACTTTCCTCGTTTATACAGAGATACTGACTACCAAGGCACACTGTGCTAAGACCGGAAAGCAGCCTTTCTTTATTCTGTCGATATTTGCCATGACGTTCCCTTTCCAGTAGATTTTTTTTTTAATAGAAGTAGTTGGCAATTTAGGAGGCAGCAGGTCTGTCCTGGTAAAATTGTGTTTTGCAGTTATGACTGCTGTCTCCATGGGGTGTCTTCTCTTAGCACAGAACTGTTAGAGAAGGATCAGACTTTTGTTCATGGTGTGGTTGGTGTATTTTAGGAGCAGACCTGGCGTGATCTCTGAGTGACCATGGTGGGCATCTTTGTGGCCAGAAAATGAGAAAAGTGCGGTTGGCTTCTGCCTGACCGTCATCTCTGGGAGATGCACTGGGTGGCAGATGGATGTTGGTAGCCTTCATCCTCTTCTTCCTAGAACAATGTTGGCTTTACCATCTTAACTCAGCTGTGGAGTTTTGTTGTTGGTTGGTTGGTTGGTTGGTTGGTAGGTTTTAGACTTGGGGTTTGGGCTTTTTGATTTGTATGGGGTTTTGTTTTTTTTTTTTTTGCATGAATCACCATATTTTGTATTTTCAACTCCAACCTCAACAAAACAACTCAAGGCCTCTAAGTATCAAGATACCATACTAATATTTTCCTGTCCTGAATTTTTTTTTAGCAGAATCTGAAATTGTGAGAGCATATTAGATTTTCTACACTCCCTGAACTTTAATTTGCTAGAATTCTTAATTTGGGCCTCTTGTGGTAATTTCCAGTGTGATCTGCCTGCCAGCTTCCGAGAACACTTTCACAGTATCTCTGGGCCTTGTCGAGTCTGCTCCCCATAGTGCATCTGGTTACCTCATGTTGCTGTTTGTTTAATATTATGAAAACTCACGGGGTGTTTGTTGGAATCATTTGCTGAGTCATTTCCTCAAATCATATTCCATTGTATCAGTTAACATATAGTTTTAAATGTATGTATTATAAATATCTGTAACCAAATCATTTGAAGGCTTGATAAATTTTTAACAAAGTTTGTACATTTTTTATGAAAGTTACTAGTAATGCTTTACTAAGTAGTGCAATGAATTTTTATTTTTAATCCCTGTGCCCAATTTTGGAGTTGAGAGGGTTGTTGGTAATAAATGTATGATGTACACTTAAAATATCTGTTGTGTTTCATGTTAGGTATGTTTTAGGAGCTGTGTTTACAAAGGGGGGTGTGTGATAGGATGCAGCAAGGTGGTAGAGCCGGCTTGGTGCTCACCGCTGAGCTTGGTCTTTAAAGTGTAGTCTTGGTGTTGGTTTAAACTACTGGAGTTACAAAATGAGCATGGTAACATAGGTATCTACTTGTTTCCTTAAAAGACCAAGCAATCAGCAGAAAATGTAGCCACACGTGGGTGCATGCGTATCTAACCAGCTGCAGGTATAGGAAACCTAACCATCTCTTCTCTGTGTCTCTGTGCAGCACCCTACCCCATGAACCATAAGATACAGAAAATAGCCGGTGTAACTGGGAAAGCAAGTGTACATTAGGGACAGTTTACAACCAAGTTACTGTGAGCGTAACGAGGGGAAAGGACCCCCTGTTCATTGTCATACATGGAGACTTAAAATGTAAGAAATCTGCTGACCGATTTACTTGAGCAGGTGTCTGATACCCCACCAGCAAAAGTATTCAGAAATCCTGAGTTATAAGCCATAACCTGAAAAAAATGGCTGTTCTAAAAAGCCATGGGTTCCTCAACAAATATTCTTTCAATAGGAGTAGAAGTATCGGTGCTGATGCTCTAAGGGCCTCGCCTTTGCCAAGTGTTTACAGTGCTCTCCTGAGTTGGCTTTGGTGATATCACAGGCATCTCAAATGTGCCCGCAGACATCACTGGCTACAATGTTTAACAGAGCAGAAGCTTCTCTTTACACTACAGAGTAAGATTTCTGAAAGGTGTGGTCAGGTCACACCTGTCTGAAGTGTAGTCGTGTAAGACAGTTTAGTGGCCATGTGTGAAAGCAGAAGAATTGGCCAGGCAGAGTGCTTCCTTAGTCCTGGCTTCAGTCCCCGACTGGAAGAAAAAAAATGTTATTCAACCCAGCATACATCCTTTCGGTATATATGCCGTTGACCCCAGCACTTGAGGCCAGCCTGATTTCCAGGTCAGACTCCAAAGCAACAGAAAAAAAAAAAAATCTTTTGTATTTTCTCAGATCCTGTATATATAAAAGCACATCTAATTTAAATTGGCCACTTTGTAAATATTCAGTAAGCCATGGAAGTGGCTACCATACTAGATGACTCAGATCTAGACCACTGTGCTGTATCATCTGGTTTCCCAGGAACTGCAAGTTAAGACAGGTAGTGTTTGCTTGTAATCCTGACACATGCTGGAAGGTTTAAGGTTGTATTTAGGGGATGCACTTTAAATGGACCTTACTCTCCTGGCCTCAACGTCTTTTGTGTGTATGTGCACAGAGGACAACTTTGGATGTTACTCGGTGTTCCTCTTGTTCTTTGAGACAGGGTCTCTCACTGGCCTGGAGCTTGCTGAGCAGGCTAGGCTGACTGACCTGTGAGCCCCAGAGGTCCTTTTGCCTCCTCCTCCTTAGCACTGGGATTACAAGTGTGTGCCACCATTCCCAGCTCTGTTTTTGTTTTGTTTTAATGTGGGTTCTGGGAATCAGACTTTGGGTCCTTGTGTTGCAACACTTAACTGACTGGCTATCTCCCCTTGCTGTTAACAGAGTAAATAATATTTATTGTTAGACAATTTTATACATGTAAACAATGTATATTGGTCATATGCATTCCCAGTTTGCCCCTCCCATCCCCCCAGGCATCTTCAACATGTCTCTGGTCCCCATTTTTGTAACTGTGATAGCTGTTCTTGGTTGTCATCTTGACTGCATCTGCAGTTTACAAACCCAAACATCTGTGTACACCTGTGTGGGATTTTCTTCTTGATTATGTCACTTGAAGTAGGAAAAACCACTTTCAATCCATATCTTTTGAAGTGGGAAGATAAACCTTTAATCTGGGCCATGCCTTTTGTTGGCAAGCCTGTATAAAGGACATAGAAGAAGAACGTTCTTGCTCTGGATGACAAGTCCATTCCTTCACTGGATCAAAGCCTACTACTTTGAGATTCCAGTGTATACTGAAGACCAGCTGAGACATCCAACCTCGTGTATTGAAGAAACTCCTGGATTCTTTGACCTTCCGTTTTGGGTAGACAGCCACTGTTGGACTAGCTGGACCACAGCCTGTAAAGCATTCTAATAAATTGCCTTAATATCTTTTCTACAAATTCTGTTTCTCTAGAGAACCCTGACTGATAGCACTCATTGAGTCCAATTAGTTGCTGCCTGTTGGAATATTGACCAATCTTGGCTTGGTTTTTGTACAGGTAACCATGACTGCAGTGAGTTCTGCCATGTCCTGTCCAGAAGACAGCATTTCTCAGTAACTGTTACATTCTTCTTCTTCCTCATTCTGAGCCTTTGGGAAGAGAAGGGTGCAGAATCAAACTTCTAAGTTTTATCATTCTTAAATTATAGTCAGATTAAAAAGCACTTCACTTTGAATAGCTAATTTGTTATGGTGTAAAGATTCGCTTGAAAAGCAGGTTTAGTTGCTATGAACAATACGCTGCCCTGGTACAATTCAGGAACCAAGTTCCTAGGCCTGGGACTATAGCTCGGGTGGTAGGGAACCTGGCTAGCATCACACAGACTGAGTATGGTGGCACCTGTCTACAGTCCCAGCACTTGGAAGCAAGAGGACGAGGGGTTCGGGATAGCCTTGACTATATATGATGAGTTCAAACTGTATCAAAAGATCCCAGCCATGTTTGCTTAACGCCTTTAGAATCCTCAACTATTTAAATAGATATGTGAGAGAAATAAATAGTGGTCAGGGCTAGAGAGATGATTCTGCTCTTACAAGAGGTTGTTGCTTTTGCCAGGAGGCCTGGGTTTGGCTCACTCATCCAGCAGCTCACAAATGTCTTAATTCCAGCTCCACGGCATCCAGTACCCTCTTCTGTCCTCTGCCATCTACACTCTGTGCTCACACACACACAGAGATCAAATTGGGTTTTGTATTTTGGTTTTTGTTTTTATCTGAGCAGCCCTAACATTGGCCATTCTGAAGAACCTGAGGGTGGTTAGCTTTTAACCCACCTGCAGATGATGGACTGGATTCTTTTTGATTTTTCGAGACAGGGTTTCTCCGTAGCTTTTGGTTCCTGTCCTGGAACTAGCTCTTGTAGACCAGGCTGGCCTCGAACTCCCAGAGATCCGCCTGCCTCTGCCTCCCGAGTGCTGGGATTAAAGGCGTGCGCCACCACCGCCCGGCTTGGACTGGATTCTTATTAAGATTACAGTACAGTGTACGCACACCTAACCTCTTGTATGGTTCTCTGCTTCCCAAAATAGCAGGAAATTCAGGAATAAAAGTCTAGTAGCTTCATGGTCTAGCACTTGGTTAGCATGTTCAATTTCCTGAGATGGATCACCAGCACCACCAAAATGTAAAACCATATCAAGCCTTTGGTTCTTGGCCTACATATGAAAATAAGGTAAGATGATATGGTGGTTGTAAGTGGAAATAGAACTTAAACATTATAGTTGTCTCTGCTGATTTTGGATACTAATAGCACATTGCTGCTACATCAATGAAACCGTCCTGCCAAAATTGAGCTAGCCTAACAAAAGAGAAATGTATTATTATCTTTCACAAGTGAGCCTTAGAAAGCCCTAGTGTGGTCACTGACACAGATGGAAATGGATTGGCTATGCTAGTTTCAGAAGCCCAAAAGGAAATGGGTTTCTAGGTCCCAAATGCCAAATTCTGCTTGGGGAAGACAAGCCAGAAAGAAAAAAAAATCACTTGACCCTAGGCCTTCTGAGGCAGTCTGGGCAGTATAGAGTATAACAGGGTACCCCCATCTCATTAAAAAGCATTGAGGTAGTTTCCAACAGGTATAAAAAGTGCTTACAGCGCTACAACCTGAGATTGATACCCAAATCCAGTAAAAAGAGAATCAGCCCCACAAAGTTGTCTGACCGCATATGTGCCTGTGCATATGTATGCACAGATAATATACATAATAAAGTAATTGAAAATAATTGGATGTTTGGGTGTGGTAGTACATGCCTATAATTCCAGCACCCATAATCATTTCAGTAGGATTATAAATTGAAGAGGCAGCCTGGCCTACGCAGACAAACCCTGTGTCAAATCAGTAGGTGCAAAAGCCTTTAATCCCAGCACTCATGCGAGCCTGGTCTACCTAGTAAGTTCTAGACCAGCCAGGGCTTCGAAGTGAGACCCTGTCAAAAAGACAAAAATCAAAATTGGGGGGCAGACCTGCTGCTGCAGTGTCAAGCAAGTGGCTGAATGGTTTTAGAAAATGGCATAATGCAGGACTCAACAGACTAGGTTTAATGCAAGGTGTGGAGGAAGCCATAAGACGGCTTCCCGAGGACCTTTATAATAACAATATTTTGAATTAAGAGAGCCCTGGACCTGACCACGAGGCATCAGATCTTGCCTAAGGAGCAGTGGACTAAATATGAGGAGGACAAATTCTACCTTGAACCCTCTCTGAAAGAGTTACTGGGAGAAGGATGGGCAAAGAAGTAATCGCAGTTGAGATCTGTGGCTGTGCCTGATCTCAGGCATATTTTTATGAAGTTGTTTCAGCCTGAATTAACTTAAGAATTAATTAAGGCAGAGGCCTTGCTTTAAATAAATGTCTATTGTAACATTTATTTAAATGTTATTTTAAATAAATATTTAAAAAGTAATAAAAATAGGTTCCACTCACCCACGAGCACTGTTAGAAATGACCAAGATGAAAGCAAATAAATTCACCTTGTCTTAAACCATAACAGGTACATAGCACAACGCCTAAAGCAGTCCTAAAGGCCTCAGAGACAGCTCTGGCTAACACTGCTCTTGTGAGGATGTAGGTGTGATTGTCAGCATCCACATGGGGCTCCTTACCATCTGTAACTTCAGTTCCAGAGGATCTGACATCCTGATTTGGCCTCCATAGCACCAAGCACACACATGGTGCTCAGACATGCAAGGAAGGAAAGTACTTACAAGTAAAAATATTTTTCCTTTCATTCTAAGGTATTTGTGCTTCAATTTAAAAATATG